CTGTTTAAATGATGGCCCTGGAAAAAAAAGGCACTGGTTATTTTTCCCTTTTAATGCCCCTTCGTGAGTCAAAATTTTAGTTATTGAGGAAAATGTAAAAAATTTCACTCATGAGCATCTTTACATGGCAAAATTATGGACTTTTTTTTTTTTTTTTACTAATAGTGCTCTGTATTTTCTAAATTATCCACACTAACCTGTAATCCTAGCACTCTGGGAGGCTGAGGCAGGTGGATTACTTGACCTCAGGAGTTCAAGACCAGTCTGAGTAAGAGCAAGACCCCATCTCTATTAAAAATAGAAAAGCCAGCAGGGCATAGTGGCAGGTGCCTGTAGTCCCAGGTACTCCAGAGGCTGAGATAAGATGATCACTTGGGCCTAAGAGTTTGAGGCTGCTGTGAACTATGATGATACCACGGCACTCAACCCAAAGCACAGAGATTGTTGCCAAAAAAAAAGAGAGAGAGACAGACAGACAGACAGACAGGCAAACACACATACACATTATCCTACATAGGATCAGGACCACCACAACATCACTAAGGGACAGAAATGTTTCAGTTCCATTGTAATCTCAGAGCACCACTATCATGTATGTGGGTCTGTCACTGACTAAAAAGTTATGTGTCATAGGTCTGTTTCTGCATTCTGCCTCAGTGTCAAGATGGACTTGAGTCTGGGCTTGACCACGTGGCTTGCTTTGGCCAGCAGAGTTAGTAGAAGTGACACCAACAGAGGCTGGCAATGTGCCTGTGTGGGTGCACCTGCTCTTATGCTTCTGCCTTTCGTAGGATACAACACCATGGGGAGCTGCTGGTCTGAGAGAAGACAGGCTCGTAGAGCAGGTCTGGACCCCAACTGCATTGCAGAACCACACCCAGTGGATTCCAGATGAGGCATCAAATCTCGGCTGACTACTGCCACAAGAACAAGAAATATTTGCAGTCTGCCACTGCGATTTTTGTGCTTATATGGTAAGTATCATTGGTCACTGGCTGATATAACCACTGAATGCAAAAAACTTGGGAGCAAAAACTGTCTCCTGGATTGAATTGCAAGGTCTAAAAAAAGCCATAGCATTCTTCATGTGCCCATTTATAAAGGGAGCCTACTCAACCATCATCCCAGTTTGAGAAAATTCATTACCAGAGAGTAATTATTTTCCTCTTTCTTGTTAAATACAGATGCTCCTTGTCTCACAATGGGGTTATGTGCCAATAAACCCATCTTATGTCAAAAATATCATAAGCGAAAAATGTACTTAATAACCAAAAAAACTCATCATAAAGTAACAAAAAGATCCTAAGTTGTACTATAGAAAGGCGAGAACCATCTGTATACAGTTATTTAATTACAGTACAATAAGTCAGAAGAACCATGAGAGACTATGGAGGTCATTCAACAACAGAACTTCTCATTCAAAGTATATTGTGGCTCGGCACCTGTAGCTCAATCCACTAAGGCATAAGCCACATACACCAGAGCTGGCGGGTTCAGGTCCAGCCCAGGCCTGCCAAACCATAATGACAATTGCAACCAAGAAATGGCTGGGCATTGTGGCAGACACCTATAGTCCCAGCTGCTTGGGAGGCTGAGGCAAGAGAATCACTTAAGCCCAGGAATTGGAGGTTGCTGTGAGCTGTAATGCCATGGCACTCTACCCAAGGCAACAGCTCGAGCTTGAAGCTCTGTCTCAAAAAAAAAGAAAAGAAAAGAAAAAGAAAAGAAAGAAAGTATACAGTAAGCCTCTTTCAATATTAAGACTTTTTTTACAACATAAGTTTTTGTATTTACAATTGCTTTCCATTTTATGTGTATATGATTTTTCATCAATACTCTTTTGCTAGCTAGGTGATATGCAATTTTAATTATTATAAATGGTACTGTGCTAAATATAACTAGGATTAATTCTCTATACATAACAACTATTTTAAAGTTTTTAATATGTATTAATTGCCTAGTTTTACTTTACTTTTATAATTAAAGGACTACGAGTCCCAAAGATTGAGTCAGCCCCAGATGCCAACTGAGCAAAAATTTTCCAACCTAGGATTCACTCCCATCAATTCTGGTAGAATTAAGAGTTTACTAAAAACCTTTGGGCTCAGCATAGCGGCTGTGAGCCTAGACTCTGGAGCTATAACGCCTGGGTTCAAATCCTGGCTTTGCTGGTTTTGAGCACCACGACCTTGTACAAGTTACTCAACTTGCCTTGTTCTCAGTGTTTGTATCTGTAGAATGGGGATAAGAGTGTCTCCCTCACGGGCAAGCAGAAATGTGAAGATTCAACAGGTGAGTAAGTGCAATCCCCTAAAAACAGTGTCTGCCATGGTTTTAATATAAGTAATCTTTTAATGTTAGCTCTCTTTAATATTAGACACAAATAAACAGATTACAGATCCTCCTCTCAAAAAGCTAAAAATTTATTGAGACTTACCAGAGATCAATGGGTGGCAAAATTTTCAAACTATAATGTTAGTTTTCCCCTCATAAAATGTTTAAGTAGAATGCTGCCAAACAAAGATTCTTGGATTAAAATAAAGTGAAGCAATGAGAAGGTGATTAACAGACTACATCAGGCACAGGCCTCTGCTGATAAAACCAATTTGATTTAAATTTAGCAACAGAGTATGCTCCAAGGTGAGATCACAAGTGATTATTTACAGTTGCCTAAAACTAGTGGAAATCATGTTTTCTTAAAGATCAGGGATGATATTGTCTTCTCTCTGCTCTAAAACCTGAAACTAGCCCAATACCAGCACAGTACCTGACAGAAAGTAGGAATCCAGTTGATAAGGGTACCGAAGTGATTTTCATGAGCCCAAGTTCCCCATTGACTCCAATCCGCCCTCCCCAGATTCGATTAGTTATGCATAGAATATTAATAGTAGCTACCTATCACTGGGTTAAGTGTTTCCTCAGCTGGGATATCTAACAAGACCAATTAAGAATGTTTTCTCATATTCTAATATAACTTCCAAGGAACTATTTTCAAAAGCTACCTGATGTTCCATGGACTCTTTAAGATTCTTCTCAGGACTATGAATCATTTAAAAAAATTATCTGACCAAAGATTTAGTTACCAAAAATAACTGTATAGGAAACTAACAGAATTGCTAGATATGTTAAGATTATGAAAATGAGAATCAAGTCTGGCTATTTATTTTTAAAGCTAAAGGCCAAATTCCTTACTTCAAGTCCTATATCTGTATCAAGAGCTCTACCCTTCTATAAGCTTTAAGGAAATGCTTTAGCAAAAAGGGAAAGAACAATTGCTGCCCCTATTAAAAATAGTTCAATCCAAGTATGTAAATGTCCTAAGTGAAATTAATAAACAAGGGAGAGTCTTTTTACCTTTAAGATTTCATTTTCCTAACTATAAGAGTTAGAATAAATAATCTTTAGGTTCTCCCACTTAAAAAAGAAAATAGTCTGCATCAATAAAGCGAAGCAAAGAAAAACATCCTAATAAGCATTAGAAGAATGTCAGTAAAACACAATTGAAAACATTTGCCTTAAACTCAGTGAAGTACAGCAATTTTCTTATTAATTTCTTCTCTTTGGCCGCCTTCTGTCCCAGAAGTGCACCACTCTGGGTCAAATGTGACCCTATTGATCACGTCAGAGGCATTTCTATTCCCAAAAATTTCATCTCCAGAAAGTCAAAATCCATCATTCTCCCCACCCAAAAAAAATGTGAGTAATTCAACTTATTTTCCAGACCATATTTGAACTGGCAGACGAGACTGTCATATGGAAAGAAAACTTTGTTTGGGGGTTTAAAAAAAATAAAATACCCTGAAAATAAATCTAGAGGAAAAAGCACTCAGAAGCTTTTGAAAAATCTAACTTACCTTTAATGACTTAAATAACATAAACGTTTAAATGTTGAATTTTTTTTTTAAAGCCATGCTTTAACTTATCTTAATTTGGCCATTATGCAAATCAACAAAAATAATCTGTAGGCTTTCTAGATTTGAAAATGGTGAGAATGTAAAATAATACAATTTTATAAAACAGTTTAGCAGTTTTAAACTTTAAGTAATTGACAAATAATTGTACATATTCATGGGGTACAAAGTGATGTTTTTTTTTTTTTTTTTTTGAGACAGAGCCTCAAGCTATCCCCCTGGGTAGAGTGCCATAGCATCACGCTCACAGCAACCTCCAACTCCTGGGCTCAAGCGAGTCTCCTGCCTCAGCCTCCTAAGTAGCTGGGACTACAGGCACCGGCCACAACGCCTGGCCATTTTTTGGTTGCAGCCATCATTGTTGTTTGGCAGGCCCAGGCTGGGGATTCGAACCCGCCACCTTAGGTGTATGTGGCTGGTGCCTTAGCCGCTTGAGCCACAGGCGCCGAGCCCAAAGTGATGTTTTCATAATACAGCAATCAGATCAGGGTAATTAGCATATCCATCATCCACCATTTATTGTTTCTTTGTGTTGGGAACATTCAATTCCCTTGTAGCTATTTGAGATTATATGTCATTGGTAACTATAGTCACCCTACAATGGTATGGAACACTGGCTACTGATACACTCATAGCCTGTATGAATCTTAAAAACATCACTGGATGGTTTCATTAATATGAATTATTAAGAAGATATGTTTAATCTAAAGTGACTGAAAATAGACCTATGGTTACTGGGGCCACGGATTAGCTGTAGGAGTAGGGGTGGAGGGTGGGCTGACTAGGAAGAGACCAGGGAACCTTTTATATCTCGATTGTAGGGGAAGTTAAACTGGGGTATAAATTTGCCAAAATCCATCCACATATGTACCCTTAGAACAGGGACAATTTATTGTATATCAATTATGTTTTAGTAAAGTCTACTAACAAAACCCTCAGTTTAAGTGGATGTGATTTTACCACATGGCCTGCACAGAGGCAGCTGCATTCTCAGGCCAGCTGATTTCCACACACGGAACTCTCCAGCCATCCAGGACCCTAGTAAGAGAAAAGCAATTCCTTGTCTTACACCAGCCGCCCTCCACTCACCAGTCAGGGCTCCTCCCAGACTCCCTCGCCGCAGCTGTCTCCCATCCTCACTCAGCTGTCTTTTATACTTCAGCGATTTTCCGGGGCCAGAAGCCACATCTGGGTTGCTGCATTTCCGAAATGGCATGGGTGGAGGGGACAGTATGTGGTCGAGCTGCCGAGAGAAGAGGAATGGCATCATTTGCAGGGACAGGAAACACAGCCCAGAAGGAAATACCAACCACTGGCACTTTCCTCCTCTCTTTCCCTTCTCTAAACCCCTTTCTCCCAAACGGTTTTTAATTTAGCTAGATTAAAGAATTGAGGATTCCACTATCATGTTTTCCATCTGAAATGGTCTAGCTTGCTGAAAATCTCAATAGTGGTGTTTTTCAAGCCATGGGTCACAATACACTGGTAGGTCAGGAGATCAAGTCGGATAGACTATGAATAGTATTTTTTAATGCAATAGAAGAGAAACTATCAGAGTCCAATGAACAAAGTATGGTTTCGTGAAATTTTTGATTCAGTTTTATGTGCGTATGTCCTGGGTCACTATATAAAACATGTTTCTGTGGACTATGGTTCCCTCCCCCAAATTGAAGAATATCACTCTAGAGAGAAGCCAATAGATCACTTCTCTAGTTGGTCACAAAAGAAAACTCACAGATTGCCCACAAATATAGCTACAGAAGGGAAATTTCTAAGCACCATAGCCCTCAATGGAAATCAATACCTTCCTACAATACTTTATAGCTTTTTAAAAGAAAACCTGTCACAAGAACCAGAGAAACCAAAGTCACTTCAAGAGGCAGCTTTCTATAAAAAGAATCCCTTGTGTCACACCACTTATTTCAAGATCTGCTCTGCTTTTATAAGAAAGCTTCTTACGCTTGCATAGCGTCATACCTTCCAAAACATTCACCTGCAGGTAGTACATATCAACGTGTGTGTGTGTAGACGGTTAAGGCCAAAATATTCACATGCATATACATATGTCCATATAGCTACTAAGGACCAAAAAAAGTAAAAACATACCCAGATACCCACGAAAATCCCAACTGCCACATAAAAGATCCAACTTCGTAGAAATTTAAGAAAGAACAAAAAAATGTAACATTGCTCAAAGTCAGGCATTTTAAGGGCTGTTTTACTGAGACTTGTTTCCATGAAGAAAAGAGGTAGACAACTGGTTATACCTGTTTAAATTTTTCTTTTCAAATTAAGACGACCACAGATGTATTTTTAAGAAAAGGAAATTGGGCATGTAGGTCATCCACGTATCATCTATTCATGGCAGCATATTCAAAATAATGACATACATAGAAATGTGACCCTGCTTATGAGTAACCCCCTCTAAGTTAGTTGATGGAACAGACCTCATTGGTGCAGCCATTAAGAGATGTCAATTTACCAAACTCAACTGTATTTATTAGGAACACCAAATAGCTGGGTTTCAAGCACTTTTCTATGAGTACCATCTCAAATGCACTGCCAGTCAGCACCTTAAGGAGAGACCCTTGAAGAACCAGCTGCCATCCACTCTAGGATCAAGGCCAAGTCAATAGGGAAAGGGATTCCTGAGTGCACATAATAAGAAAAAAAAAGTCCTTTCAACTAAGAAGTTGTACTGATAACAAGATACTTGCTGAGACTGCTATGCATTACGTCAGTGTCCTAGCTAGGAAGGGCTTAAAGGAGAAGTTTCTGTCTAGCCTCAGACACTGTCCCTTCAGCCTCACGGACAATGAATTGTAAGCAAGGAAATATGCATAGTTACACAGTGGCTACCAGGACACGCAGAATCCGGTCACTGGTCCATCTGTAGTCAGATTACACAATGTAGAGGTTATTTTTCCCTCCTTCTTGGCTCCATCGTATGCCCTTACCCCATTTTTTTCCCTTTTCCTGCCAATTTCATTTTAGTTTGGAATTTTTTAGGAAAAAATTTTCAACCACAGAAAAGTTGCATGAATAACACAACGATGACCCATATTCCCTTTACCAACGCTGAGTTAACCTTTTCCCACACTGCTTTAGCTCTCTCTACACACATACGCATGCACACAAGAGTGTCAGCTGTAAATAGTATTTTTGCCTCCAAGTACATCGACATGCCTATAAGAACAGGGATATTCTCTTAAGTTCTCCTACCCTATATCCTAGGTATTCTCATATGGTGTCTCAAATCTTTTGTGATCAAGGTGAAGTACACATACTAGGGAAAAATATAAAATGAGGTTACAACATACAGACCTTCATTAAAATTCTGTTCTTTTATAGGGGAAAACTGCAGCCACAAGGTGGCAATATGCCACAGACATTCAACAACATATCCCACAATAGCTATTAGTCCTAGCAAATCCACCAGGCATGAGTGGCTACCCCTCAAAGCAACCAACCAAGCGAGTTAGGGTCCCTCCTACTTAGTTATTTCCTCTTAATTACCAGTGGCAGCTGCATAAAATACAAATATTTATTGTTTAAGGTTCATCAGCTTCTACTACTTATTTTTCACCTGAAGTTAAATTTTTCAGCTTGTAGGATTACAATTAATTACTCTGGGGGAAGAATGTTAGTTATATCACAAATTAACAGAGAATAGAAAAATAAGCAGAAGAAAGAAGATGATTCCTAAATAGGACTTATATGATTTTTTTTACGTATTTCTGAAAAAGCCAGAAAGGACATGAAGCAAATGTGAAAGAAAGGAGGAAATCAAGGAGAAAATGTAGGAAAAGGAAAAAAGTCTATTTCGCCACGTATCAAATATATACAGCCACAAGCTATTAGTCCTTGTGCCAGAGGTTTTCATCAGAACCACAGCCCCAAGAGAAGAGTATTAAGACTGGGCAAATTGAGGCAGAGAACTGTGAGGGCTGCAAACGTTCCAGCACAATATAGTAGAAAAACCTATAAGCATCGTGCAGTGTTCCAAGATCCCATTTCCTTCTTCAGATCAAATCACACTCCCACCAGGGCTCGCTCTGTAATGGATCATTTTTCCAAATTTGCTCTCTTGTCAGTGGCCTTACTATTCTTTCCACAATTAGTCAAACTTTCTCAAAATGGTGCACGGCAGCCCTGCGATTTTTCATTGTTTGTCCTGATTTGAACACGTGTGACCCCTTTAAAAACATTTCATCACACCCTAGAGCTTACTACGGTAGACATCAAACATGTCACTTTGGACTTTGTCCTTTAAATGATTTCAATTTAATGTTTTCCAACCTTTCCCTCCTCCCCAAGTCTTCATACCATGAGGAGTTTAAGTAAAGACAGAGGTTGTCTTGGAACTTTCACTGATGGTGAAGGTCATTACTAAGCCTTGGCTTTACTATATTTGCTTTGTACAATTCTAATTTCCCTCACTGAGGAGACAGTGGACTCCCAGAGGGGCCGAGCCTACTCCCCGTCACCCAGCATGCTGCTAGCCGCAGAGTATCCTGGATTGAAACATACTCTTCAGAAATACCCCCTATAGCAAAATATTCATTTAAGGTGACTGGACGTGATAAAAACTTCCTATGTTAGTTCTGACAGCTCCCTGTGGTTCCTAGAGGAGCCACAGAAGAGTTTAAAAGGTGCATGTGGCTATTATTGAATTTACAGGTGAGACAGAGAGGGGCATAGCAGACCCCCCCACATGAGAAGGATGTGCACGTGCTCTTACCAGCACATACATGAAACATGTGGATGTCTTAAAGGACCAAAGGTGTATCACCTAAGTAAGTCTGAGGCAGATTTGGAGGAAGGTTTCCAAAATCATCAGTCCCCTAGATCACCAGAATTCCACACCTGTATTCTCCACACTTATTATCCTTGCCACTGCATGCTGTTTTACAGTTATCAGACTGAGAGAAACAGAAGAACGCACCACAGTTATTGTGTGGCTTCTGCCAAATCCATGAAGGTGAATTAAAAGGATATAGTTAATAACAATGTATTATATTCTAGAAAATTACTATGAAAGTAAGATTTTAAGTGTTCTCACCACAAAAAGTAATTAGCATGTTAATTAGCTCGATCTAGCCACTCCATTAAATATACATATTTCAAGGCATCATATTATATGTGATATATATATAATTTTGTCAATTAAAAATGTATCTCATAAAGTATAAGGCAAATTATGAGGCTCAGTCAAATCTTGTTTAGTGTCTCTGCCATCACTGTCACCACTAATGTCTCCAAACACGAACCACGGGTTTTTCTATGGTTACAGTCAAATATGTATATCATCTGTCTTTCTCTAAAAAGGCACATTCTATCAGCAACACTAAATTTGTAACCTTCTTAACAGTTTCCTCCAAACTCATCTGTCATGTGCATGCATGTTAGTTCTCTAATTCATAATTTCTAAATATTAACAATGATCATATGAACAGAAAGAGAAGGAGTTTTCTAATTTCAGTAAATGGCAACTCCTTTTTTCCAGCTATTCAGGTCACGAACCTTACAGGCAACCTGAACTTCTCTTTCTCACCCCATATCCAACTAGCAAATCATCTAGCTTAACCTCCCAGATACATCCAAGAATCCAATCACTGCACCACTTCTAGCACCACCACACTTGTCCCTACCATCCCTAGCTCTCTTGCAATAGCCTACCCAAAAGGTCTCTGTCCTTCCACCCTAGTATCAGCACTGCAGCCAGTGATCCTTCTAAAAAGAAGCCTGACTGCCCGAGTGCTCCCCTAGAGTCCTCCATGGCTTCTCCCCCTCTCAGAACAAAAATCAACATCTTGACCACAGCTTACAAGATCTACCTCTACTCCTACCTCCTGACCCCAGCTGCTACCACACCCCCAATCCACTTCGGTCTTTCATGGGACCTTGGATGCCCCAGGCATCTTCCCACCCAGGACCTCACATTCACCTTTTCTTCTACCTGTGACACTCTCTGGGTATTAGCTACCCAGTCCCCTCTGTCCTCCTGGTTTCTATTCCAAAGTCACTCCCAGGAAGCTCTGTGACTGTTTCTGCAAAATAGCACAACCACCACTTACTTCCATTTCTGTAATTTTTCTCTGTGGCATCGGTGAGATTTTAGGTACTTGTCTCCTGCTGTTATTCCTCTGCTACAATGTAAGTTACAAGAAATTATGCAGTAGCCTGTTTTGCTCAATGTTCTACCTCTAGAACAGTGCTGACGACACAAAGGAGCCCTTTAAA